TGTAAAACTTTTACAAAGTACAGTATACAGATCTCAATTAACTTAGTTTTCAATGCATTTTATATGCAGTTTTAATTTGTTTATTTCTCATGCAAACGTTTTGTAAATTGGGAGTAGTCAGCTGTGTTCCAGGTGTGGTTGTGAGTAAATTTGACATTGAAAGGTAGGTGTGACCAACCTTGGTTGATTGGTGGTTGGGTGAAGGTTCTAAATGTGTGACGGACATTAACTCACATTCTATGGCGAGCAGGTCCACGTGACTGCCGATGTCGCCGACTTCTGCCGTGGTTACATAAGCTGCAAACTGGTAGATGGAGAGAATGTGAGGCTGGTCCTCAGTGAGCAAACCCTCCTCACGTGGGTTGTAGTCATCGGTCATCCTCCGGATCAGCTCAGGAAGAACTACAGAGTGAAAGGATAATCACAACATTGAAGAGTTTGGCAAATGTAAATAAGCTATTTTGTAGCTTACAAGTTTGGAAAACTGTACAGCATTCAGAGCGTGGAGACCTTAACTGGAGCTGCCGTATATTGTCACTGCTGCCACTTACTGACTTTGGACATGGTTGTGTAATCATACAATGTACTATGATAGTAAGAACATGTGTACGTCAAAAAACATCATTGTATGAGACATTGGTGTACAGCTACTGTATTCTGACCCACCTTACATTGTCCACTACTACTTGTAACTTACTTATTTAGACATGGGAGTGTAACCATACCATGACAGCACAAGAACATTGAAGTGCTTACCCCTGTCAGAGACATCAGTGTACTGTATTCTGAGGCGCCGTACATTGTCCACCTCTAGCTGCTGGTGCAGTTTGTCCATGGTGGTGTATAACACTGTCTCCTGGCCCTGACAACAACAGTTCCAGAAGTCCACTAGTCTGGGCTGGTCCTTCAGAACTGGGCAGGCTACAATACAATCAAACAGATAGAGGTGTAAGGCAAACAATAGTATATTCTTTTAGTGTAATTATCAAATGTATGATTATTTTCAATTCATTGATAATTTTGTATGTTGTGTAGGGAGACAACTTGTAAAGGTGAGTTATATTGCATGTTTTGTGTCTCTTACATTGTACTCAATGGTAAATTAAAAAAAAAACAAAGAAATAAATGTACAGAGGTTTATCCACCACATAATATGAGTGCTTTGTATAATCTGTGTGGCATCCTGCAAGTAAGGCTGCCAAACTAAGGCACCTTTTCCACTAGACTCACGATGTACTTGCATAACCATGTCAAATTTTTGGTTTCTCATTCATTCTTTCTTTCATTCTTTCTCTCTCCTTCCCTTACCTTCCACTATGCCACACTGCTGCCTGTCCTCCTCCACCAGTACTCTGAGCTGCCACAGGATTGCTGCCTGCTTCTTCAGCTTGTCTAGTGAGTACATCTCCCTACATCTCAGGGGTCCAAATGAACCCAGGTTCTGTAACATGAAGACACCAGAGAAGCAGTCAGAATCATGTTTTTGTAGCTCTGAGTCTGACCTAAGACTTTCTGATGAATCTCTAAAATGTGAGCATATTATTCAAGGATATGTTATACTTTTATCGTATATCTAGGAGTTATTTTGCCAATTTTCTTGTTGTAGGCAATTGGAGTAAACTCAGTACTGACCCCTAGCAGGTGTTGACAGTACTGCAGGTGATGGACAAGGGCTACATCTACAGCCTCAATTCCCGTTGTCAGGGGAACCGGGCTGGAGTTCTGGCTGGCACCTAGTCCGATATCCTCGTTCAAGGACGCGGCTGACGACTTCTTCTCCTGGATGACCTTGGAGGGGTCGAGTTGTCCGTTTGTGGTGGGGGGAGGGGGTGGGGGCTCTGTGGGTGGGGGTGGGGGCCAGTCGGGTTTGAATGTGCTGAATGTGAACCTGAAAGCAGGGAAAAACAACTTATTTGCTACAAACTCTTCCAGAACAAGAGTTCCACAAACACATACCTTAACCAAATGATGTTAGCCTTAATGAGCCATTACAAGCAGCTAGGTGACTCATAATCTAACCATTTTGAGGTCTCATCAAGACTTACACATGAGTTGTAAGCATAAGATGGTTTGCTTTATAACATAATAAACCCTTGGCCCCAATATTGTTTCAACTGCAATCATTGAAGCTCTGATTAAAAAAAGTAGATCCCAGATTAAGTAATTTGTCTGGCCTGACCACAATAAAATAACCCATCAGTCTCCTCACCCTCTGTCTGGCTCGCTGTCTAAGTCACTCTCCTCTCCAACAAAGTTGAGGAAGTTGAAGCTCTCCAGAGCACTCTCCACTGACAGACTTATACTGGACCCACTGCTTCTTCTACTCACATTGGTCTGAAGGTACAAGAGCAATCCAGGAGTTTCAAGTTAATATCAACTTCATGTAAATGTGGAATTTTCACATTTTTCACCAGGGACAGGGATGTCAGTGTCAGTGTGAATGTCATTCAGCACCAGGGACAGGGACATCAGTGTCAGTGTGAATGTCATTCAGCACCAGGGACAGAGACAACAGTGTCAGTGTGAATGTCATTCAGCACCAGGGACAGAGACAACAGTGTCAGTGTGAATGTCATTCAGCACCAAGGACAGGGACAACAGTGTCAGTGTGAATGTCATTCAGCACCAGGGACAGGGATAACAGTGTCAATGTGAATTTTATTCAGCACCTGGGACAGGGATAATAGTGTCAATGTGAATTTTATTCAGCACCAGGGACAGGGATGGTAGTGACAGTGTGAGTGTTACTTTTTCTACCCTAAAAACTGTATCATCAGCAGTCAACACTACCAAAGGTGATTAAGTGGTTACCCATGATGTGACGTAAACTACAACTTTTTTCAGACATGAACTTTTCCCTTTAAAAACAAAAAAAAGCTTACAGATTTCATAATCACAGCTCTTGAACTATACCTTTTTTAATCTTTGCTGCAACTGTATCAACTCCTCTTCCAGCTCTTGCAATTCGTGGTATTGCCCCCTGTAATCTTCTAGAGCTATACTTAGGCAATGCAGGGCATGCTCCAGGTGGACAGTGGGGGTGACAGTGGTGGTTGGAAGAGCCCCCAGGCTGCCGTTGGTTACAGTGTCAGGAGGGGGGCCAGGCGAGGTGTCCATTTCCTCTAAGGTGGGCTCCTGAGGTGCGGTGTCCTGAGTGAAATAACTCTGGGAAATAAGACGTGTGCATAGAGAGTGATTGTTACGGCTGCTGTGTACATGGGCAAATCTCACATAAGAATATCTACAATGAAGCACCAAGTGCTGTATTACATACAAGTCAACTCATAGAAAACAAACAAGCAAGTAAACACATTTATCATCAGAATAATCACTTCATGCAGAGAAAATCAAGTAATGCAAATAAATAAAAACCCAGGTGATACGTTTGTACATGTAAACTTTCAACATTTCAACAGCGCACACCAACACATCAAACTGTCTCTGAAAAGTTAAAAGAAAACTTGTAAAGAACCTGAAACAGCTGTTACATGCTTTTGAGAAAAATGCAAGAAAGTGCACCGATAGTATGCATTTTTTAAATTTAGCACTGACAACAGAACAGCTGTTGTATATGCTACTGGTACACTTTCTTCTGAGAGAGGGCAAAAGGTGGTGGCAGGCAGCAAACACAAACACAGGCACAAACACGTATTAGTGACATCACACAGCAACCCTTGAAGGAAACTAACCTTGGTAGCAACTTTGGCTGGAGGCTCAAACAAAGGCCTTAGTCTTCTAGGGTAAGAAGCAGACTAACAAAGGAGGAATACAGCAGGTCAGCACTGGTTGCACACATGACATTACCGGTACATGATTTTTCTTTTTCAATTTCAACTTTCAAGAAATCCATACTCCATAACATATATGTTCGTCCAGGTTAATAGGGGTAAATGCATTTATTCATTCTTGAATGTTCATGTTGTAAAACCACACAAACACTGCTATATGCAGTTCTTAAGCTCAATGGTGGATTCATTCATAATACATGTAGTAAAAAAGGGCAAAATTCTATATGTTGGGTTCTTTTAAATTTTTCTTTAAATTTACATTTTGTAAATTGATGATAAGATACGCAAATCCAACTGTTTAACAAGCAGACTGTGTATGAAGGACATAAGAGGGACAGAAGTAAATTTCGTTCAGTTGGTAAGCTGTGTACAAGTATCGTGCAGCCAGACATTTCAATCCGTGTTTTCATTATGCTGTAACTGTGTACGGAAATTTCTTAGAAGTTGCAGCCAACAAACTCAGTTCCAGGTACCGTGATTGAAGTTTGAAATAATTTTGCATTAAGTCAGCCATGGAATTTAGTTGCCGGATGTATTTATTGCAGGCAGGTTTTAAAAGCAATCTTCACTGTGTGCAAACTGCCTTATGTTAGCAGTTGTTACTTTGTTAAAATCCATTTACACTGTACATGCGCTGCAAGGCAAGATGAAGAGAAAGGAAGAAAGAAAAGAAAGATATGAAAGTACAGACTGAATTAATGACCTGTGGTGGAACTTGTACAACATACACATCATTACTCCATTCCAACTAACAGCACATATTACTGTAAATTCCAAATTAAAGTACACACTTATTAAATTTGAAAATCCAAAAAGTGCCTCAGGCTATCACCAAAGTTGGATACAAACAATGTACTTTATTTGTTCTTATTATAAGGACATTATGCATAATTCCTTGATCTATGCAAAATTCTCCAGGGAAAAGAGAAGAAAAAGTACAGATTTGAATTTATTCAAAACTTGTTCAAGATTGATATACATGTAGAGGAATATTAGTTTATTTGAGTTTTTCCAGTTTATGTTTCAGCCTGCCTTGTACTGTCTCCATTTTCCAACCAGCCCCAATTGGGTTATAGCATTTAACAGAATTCCTAAATTTTTATGACTGAAGTTTTATGACTAAATCAGGTACACAAATGGTATACAATTTAACAGGCCATACCATGCTGGAGTCGGGGGAGTTGTAGGATCCCCCAGATGAAGATGAGGATGTGAGGACAGAGTCTGCTGTGGAGTATCTCTTCCTGATGTGGGTGGATTCTTTCTTGGTTAGCGACCCAAACCAGTCTTCTGTTTCCCTCTCACACGGGCTGGGTGGAGAAAGGATACAGCATTATACATATTTCACACAAAAGGTGCACATAGGCAGTATACAGATTTGTGAAAAATAAGATAACAAAAATAAAAATACAGATAACTAGAGTTCCACGATCTCATACCTTCGCCAAATGATGTTAGCCTTTATGAATAAGAAATATACTAATCACCCAGATTATGCAAATAGGATCCTCAATTGCATGAATTATATCAGTCTGTTGATCATATTCTCCACCAAAAGACAGTCTTATCTTAACAAAGAATGCCATTTTCTCATAAATTATGCAAATGTGGTCCTTATTTGAATAAGTTATGTTTAATTATGTTCACCTTCACTTAACTTTCAAACACCCCAAGTATGAAACTCCAGGCAGTTACCACTATGCAATTATAACATTTTCTTATTAATTATGCAAATTAAGTCTTCATTTGCATAATCGATATTTGCCTGTGTTTCTCTC